TGGCACCTTAGAGACTAACAAATTTATTTGAGCATAAGCTTTCATGAGCTACAGCTCACTTCATCAGATGCATTCAGTGGAAAATACAGTGGGGAGATTTATATACATAGAGAACATGAAACAATGGGTGTTACCATACACACTGTAACGAGAGTGATCACTTAAGGTGAGCTATTACCAGCAGGAGAGCGGGGGCGGGGGGGACGACGACTTTTTGTAGTGATAATCATGGTGGGCCATTTCCAGCAGTTGACAAGAACGTCTGAGGAACGGTGGGGGGTGGGGGAAATAAACAAGGGGAAATAGTTTTACTTTGTGTAATGACCCATCCACTCCCAGTCTCTCTTCAAGCCTAAGTTAATTGTATCCAGTTTGCAAATTACTGAAAAGTTGTGGTGATGGAGCTTGTGGCTGGGTAGTCATTACACTTGGAGTAACTGTTAATGGAGAATCCAGAGACACATTAGAAAAATAATCACATTTCTACTGGGAGATTCTATTTGGCTGAGCTAATTGAAACTGCACCAGTTGGAGAGAAAGAAAAAATGTAGCTCTCCACAGAAACCTCATTTTCACCAAAGCTGCCCAAGGTCCAGTGGCTGTACATTCTACCCATGTAGGTCTCCATCCCTATAGTATATGAACAGCTCACGTCCCTTAATGAATTTACCCTCGCAACACCCCATGATGTAGGGATGTATGACTACCTCATCTTACAGAGGTAAATGAATGAATAAATGAGTAAATGAATTCTTTGCATCAGTCTTCACTGCAGAGGCTTCACCTGAGCCATTTCTTTTAGGTGACAAATCTGAGGAACTGTCCCAGATTGAGGTGTCTATAGAGGAGATTTTGGAACAAATTGGTAAATTAAACAATAATCAGTCATCAGGGCCAGATGGCATTCACTCAAGAGTTCTGAAAATATGAAATTGTAGAACTGCTAACTGTGGTATGTAACCTATCACTTAAATCAGCTTTTGTACCAGATGACTGGAGGATAGCTAGTGTGACACCACTTTTAAAAATGGCTCCAGAGGTGATCCTGGCAATTACAGGCCAATAACCCTAACTTCAGTTCCAGGCAAATTGGTTGAAACTATAATAAAGAACAGAATTATCAGACACATGGATGAACACAATTTGTTGGGGAAGAGTCAACATGGCTTTTATAAAGGGAACTCATGCCTCACCGATCTATTAGAATTCTTTGATGGGGTCAACAAAATTAGAATTCTTTGATGAGCTCAACAGACAAGTGGATAAGGGTGATCCAGTGGATATAGTGTACTTGGACTTTCAGAAAGCCTATCACAAAGTCCCTCATCAAAGGCTCTTAAGCAAAGTCAGGAGTCATGGGATAAGAGGGAAGGTCCTCTCATGGATCAGTAACTGGTTGAAAGACTGGAAACAAAGGGCAGGAATAAATGGTCGGTTTTCAGAATGGAGAGGCGTAAATAGTGGTATCTCTAGAAGTTTGCAGATGATACAAATTACTCAAATTAGTTAAATCCAAAGCTGACTGTGAAGAGTTACAAAGGGATCTCACAAAACTGGGTGACTGGGCAACAAAATGGCAGGTGGAATTCAGTGTTGATAAATGCAAAGTGATGCACCTTGGAAAACATAATCCCAACTATACATACAAAATGATGGATATGCAGTGGCAGTCAAAAAAGCGAACAGAATGTTGGGAGCCATTAGGAAAGAGAGAGATAATAAGGCAGGAAATATCATAATGCCACTATATAAATCTATGGCACCTCCACACCTGGAATCTGCGTGCAGTTCTGGTCGTCCCATCTCAAAAAAGATACATTAGAATTGGAAAAGGTACAGAGAAAGGCAACAAAAATGATTAAGCTTCCATATAAGAGAGATTAAGAAGACTGGGACTGTTCAGCTTGGAAAAGAGACACTAAGGGGAGATATGATAGAGGTCTATAAAATCATGAGTGGTATGGAGAACGTGAATAAGGAAGCGCTATTTAACCCTTCAAATAACACACAAACCAAGGGTCACCAATGAAATTAATAGGCACCAGGTAACAAAAGGAAGTACAATGCAGAGTCACCCTGTGGAACTCATTGCCAGGGGATGTTGTGAAGGCCAAAAGTATAACTTCATTCAAAAAAGAATTAGTTAAGTTCCCGGAGGATAGCTTCATCAATGGCTATGAGCCAAGATGGTCAGGGATGCAACCCCATGATCTGGATGTCCCTAAGCCTCTGACTGCCAGATGCTGGGACTGGATGACGGGGTGGATCTCTTGATAATTTCCCAGTTCTGTTCATTTCCTTTGAAATATCTGGCATTAGACACTGTTGGAAGATAGGATATTGGGCTAGATGGACCATTGGTCTGGCCCAGTATGGCTGTTCTTCTGTTATGTACAGAAGGAGACTTGAGGTATAGAGAGATCTCATGACTTGCTCAAGGTCATATAGGGGATCTGGGGCAGAACCAGAAATTGCCCCCAGCTCTTCTGAGTCCCAATCCAGTGCCTTAGCCACAAGACCATCCTTATTTACATCCTCAAAACAACATTTTACTGACTGATCGTACCCTATGGTCCTGATGCTGCCTTATCACAGCTTAATTTCCCATAGGTGCCAGGAAGCAGCAGAAATCATGAAAGAAGGTTGTGCTCTGAGGGTTCCAGCCTGATTTCATTAGTGTTCTGTCACATGTCTTGGTACTGATAGTTTGGAAGGGATTACAAAGCTTAGGTTTAGGACATGATGCCTCACTTAGATTGTAAGCTCTTTGGGGCATTGACCATCTTTTTGTACAGCACCTAGCACCATAGGGTACCATCCATGACTGGGATTTCTAGCCAATATTGCAATAGAAATAATAATCAAATAACACCTGTCCTACCAGCATCTCAGACCTATGGGCCACTCTGACACTTGAATTTCCCATAGTCATGCTTTGATATTCACTTGTGCTGTGGTCTGTGCTTTTATTTCTCTTGCCTCCCAGCATCTCAGAATGTTTTGAGCCAGCTGTTATGATCCAGCCCCACTGAGGAGAGAATGTGCCGTCAAGCTGATGGCTTGAGACAGGCAATGGACCAAGTGCGCAATTCCCTCCTGGATTCCATGTGGCAGTGGAGGGGAAAACACCTGAAATCAATTGACATGGCTTTGCATTTTAGTCATGTTAGATCTTTGACAAAGTAATGAATTTGGGCCAGTCCCTTCGCACATGCTTCCCTGCCCCCACTGTGGCCTAGAACAGAAATGGGAATCTGTTTGCAGACTCAGGGGTAAGGTAGGAAGGCAAATGCCCTCAAGAGTTTAAGACTTGAAAGCACAAAAACAGCTGTCTTGCAAAAAGTCCCTCATATAGCTCCCTGGCCAGTGAAGCACTTATGTCTGTGCCTACCTTCCAAGCCAATGGAGGAATTACTTGCATGCTTAAAGTTAGCCATATGCATATGTGCTTTGCTGGATCAGGTCTGTGGCTAACCTCTGGTCACTGCTGGGTACTACATACCAATGTCAGCAATAAGACATCCATTACCAATGTTGCCATCTACCAAAGGCATCTTCTGAATACCAGTCACACACTGCTCAAAACCTGCCAAAAGTATCATCTTAGCACCTTAATATCTTAGATCCTTAGTATCTTTGGGTGAAATCCTGGGCCAACTGAAGTCAGTGGAAGTTTTGATGTTCATCTCCATGGGGATAGGATTTCATCCTGTGTCTTTTAGATTGCCATCTCTTCTGGGCAAGGATTGGCCTTTGCTATATGTTTGTACAACACTTAGCACAGTGGAGTCCTGACCGTGATGGCCTTTAGGAGCTGCCACAATATAACTGGTAAATAGTAAATTCCTACGAGCTCCTCAATTGCCACCTACCAAAGGAAACCTATTACAGACTCCCAGCTCCCACAGAAGCATAAGAAGGTATCAGCAGACCCAATTTCTACATTAAAAAGAGCTCTCCAGGAACTCAGACCCATTGTATTAAAAGCAGCCAAGCTGTTTCCTCTGGATTCTCATCTGCAATATGATATCTCAATTGAATCAGCATTGCCAAGCTTGGCTGGCCTCTGCTGTAATTACTGTGAGATCATGATGATATCCCAGTGAAGTACAAAGTTTACCGTGGCCCCTGAGGCCATGCCATCTCCTGGCACTTGCTGAGCCATGAGGCATGATAGACCGAAACACGGACTTTTCAGTGCCAGCATAGATCCTGAGTGCCCATGAAGGAAATAGACATGGATATAGCTGTTGGAGCATTATTCCCACATCTGGAGAGTTGTGTTACTGCCCTTATACTCTGATAGGCTGCTGCTTTCCCCTTACTTATGGGGACATGAGGAGGAATATTCAAGGAAGGGAATTAGCCAAACCAGCCACCTCCCATCAGGCTGATCTAAAGCCCATTGAAGTCAATAGAATGTCTCACTGGGCGCAGTGGGCTTTCGTTTAGCCCAGGGAACTGGCTGGCAGGGTTCGGATTTCCAATGCAACAAACTTTGCTCGGCTACTCCCTCGAACGCAGGGTGAATGGACATTCCTCTGGTGTTACGGCTGCTAGATACCCCTGGCACAAGCGGCCAATAAGTGAAACAAATAACTTAGAAACAATAACAACCCCCCCCCCCAAACAGGAACGAATGGGAAAAAAACAAAACAGGTTATTTCAATCTGTGCTAGTATGTCCATGGTTTTTATACCCAGATTCTTAAGGGCCGATCAATGGAGCAATACTGATTTATACCCATTGAAGGTCTGACCCCCAAAATGTAGGTTGGTTAAATTTTTGTGTACAGAATACACTGCTAAATGATAATGCCAGTGTGACCAGGTATCAGAAGTCTTTCAACAGCAATGTGAAACTGGCCAATTTTAGTCACCTTCTTTAAGCATCTGTTCAAATGCCTCCTAGCTTTGCAGGGCACAAAATACATTAATCAGTAATCACAGAAAGGTTACTTGTTAAGGTTTTATTTTTAATGGAAAAAATGGGTTCTTGGTCTTAATTCCGTTGCTCATTCTGTCCCACTCCAGCTGTGTTGCTGTCATTCATCAACATTCTCACTGGCATAGCTCGAATACGAGCATATACCTAGTACATTCAGCAGCACAGCAGGTGCCTTCTGCCTGGACGATTTACACAGTCTATTAAAAACAGAAAAGAAAGTTAAAGCAATGCCATTTTTTATTATGAGGATTTCTTCAAGAACTATATGTTGGCTTTTAAATGTGGGCAAGACTGAGAGACTGCCTGATATCCCATAACTTAAGAATTGGTGTGTGTGGCGGGGGGAGGGGGTTTCAAAAAATTAACTAATCAAATTTAAACAGCAATTTTTTTTCTTTTTTATGATTGTATAATTAAGCAGTGGAACTCACTGCTACAGGATGCTGAGGCATTATGGGTAAAAGTTTCCAAAACATTTAAGTGACTGAGAAGCCAAAGTCCCATTTTCAAAAAGTGACTTGGGAAGTCCCATTTTCAAAAAGTGACTTGGGAAGTCCCATTTTCAAAAAGTGACTTCAAAAAGAAACCTAAGTCTTAAGTCATTTTTGAAAATGTGGCTTTATTCCTAAGTCATTTGGGTGCTTTGAAAACTTTTACCCCATGTCACTAAGGTCTGGGTTCTTGGTGTGATAAGCTTTTGCCCCAGTGCACAACTGGTCAGGTACATTAAACGCTTTTTTCCCCTTCTTCCTCTAAAGCAGTAGGTTCTGGCTAGTGCAGGAGACAGGATAATGGGCTAGGCTAATGAATCATTGTTCTGTTCTCATCCTGTATGGTAACTACAGTGTTTTTAAGATCTTTAGTGTTCCTTCTTTGATTGATTGATTGATTGATTGATTTTACAGACACTACATCGAATGTCCAGTTCATTGATCACCACATTAGCAGTGACTCTCAGATCCCAGAACAAGAGCTGTATCTCAGCTCCACTGGTGGTATCTTCTCAGATAGCTTTTTGGATTCTCTCTTGACTACTGTAAGTACATCACTGACTCCTGTAACTGGTGGCCTCATAAACAACCATTCGCTAGGACAGGGACAACCGATCAAGCAATATAACAATTTCCATTTGGGATAAATCCACTAAATCTCCCATCCTGTCTCCAAAAACAGCCAATATCACCTGCTTGAGAACAAGGTGCAAGAAACCCTGCAGTAGGCAATGATGGGGTTAGTTAGAGGTTGGCTTATTCCCTAATGTAGGAGAGTTTATAGCTCTTCCAAAACTCTTGTATATTTTTAATCCTTTAAATTTTATAGCTCTAGATATTCCTGTTATCCAGAGAAATGTTTACTCCTTTTTTGAATCCTGCTTTTGGCCTCAATGATATCTTGTGGCAGTGAGTTCCACAGGGTTATGCGAATCCGGAGAACCATCAGTTCCAAGAGACATCTCATTCAGTGCACACCATTGTCAGCTCTCTCATTCTCTGTGCCAGGGGTTCTCAGACGTTATTGCACTGCAACCCCCTGCTGACAACAAAAATTACTACACGACCCCAGGAGGAGGGACCGAAGCCTGAGCCCACCTGAGCCCCACTACCCTGGGTGGGGGCGGGCAGGCCCAAAACCTGAGCCCCATCACCCCAGGTGGGGAGGGCCAAATCCAAATCCCAAGGGCTTTAGCCCCAGGCGGGGGCCTGTAATCTGATCCCTGCCATCCAGGGCTGAAGCCCTCAGACTTCGACTTCTGCCCTGGGAAGTGGTGCTCGAGCTTTGCTTTGGCCCCAGGCACCAGCAAAGCTAATGCCAGCCTTGGCGGCCCCATTAAAACAGGTTGTCCCGATCCACAGTTTGAGAACCGCTTCTCTACGCTGTATAAATAAGTTAGCTGGAGTTATTTTATAGTGTTTTCATTACAGGTTTTTTTTTTTTTTTTTTTTTTAAAGAATCCTTACTTGCTGTAAAAGATATTTAGGATGAGTCTGACTGTTTTTTAGCATGATTTAGATCAGGAGCAAGCTGTTCCTCTGAAGGGAAATGTATTCGTTCAAACCATCATTACCTTTGACACCAATTGGACCCTGTGTTGGAAATCACAATAGTAGTGCCAATAACTGAATGGCCCATGAAGACTCAAACTTCTTGCTCATCCATGGGAGGGAGGGACAGAGGGAGTGGGAGAAGGTACCTCCAGGTCCGGCTTGAGGTGCATTGGTGAGCTGAAGTGTGGAGGGACATTTGCACGAGCACTACCCTGCTATAACTGATGTGGGGATAAACAAAACACTTCATTCTCCAGGGATGTCTGTCTGGCATCAGCATGGAAATTCAATTGGGCTGGATTGCAAAGCGAAGTCAATGGTAGTATGTTTTCTACAAAGAGATTTAGGTGTACAACTAATTCTACACATGTTGCCACAATCATAGACCCGATGTGGTCCAGATGTCTGCAAGCCCCATCAGATTAGGACCCTTACAAAAGAGGGAAAGGTTTGAATCTGCAAAATTTTTTGGCACTGGCTCTGTATAACATTTATATCTTTAAGAGTGTGTTTAACATGGTAGATGGGATTGAAAATGTAAGGAGAGCAAAGAGAACATGACAGTTCCCCACCCCCATAACATATTCATGTCAGATCACTGACAGAAGTGAGTGATACTGATGAGGGAAAGTGTGGGGCAGTTAAGCCAATATTTTGTCAGGAAGACAGCAGCTCAATTCATAATAAGCCTGCATCTCCCAAACTGGCTGCCCTTCTTTCTTAACTGTGCCACCTCCCATCCTCCATGACCTTTGGTGCTGCAGTCAAGTTACACGTGACTTGCCTTGGATTCAGGTGTAACAAGATACTGCTTGGGCGGCAGTTTTAAAGAAATTGAATAAATACACCACAAACCTCTTGAAGGGATAAGCAGTCCAAAAAAAAAAAAAAGAAGAGTGTCAAGTCCAGTTATGCTTTCCTGAGAAGACTCCAGTGTTAGGGAAAGTATTACATGGCTGCTAGTCACTGATATGTCAGTCAGCCTGACTGTAATTAAGGATCGCTGGTGTCAAGTGTAAAAGTAACTTGAGATCTAGCATGACCTATCTTAAAGGATAAAATTTCACTCAGGCTTCAGATCCCAAGTCAGTCCAGGAATGATCAACTCTTAGGTCTAATTTTTCAGCAGGAGAATGTCTTTGGTCAGATTCAGCTGGTCATTAAATGTAGGGAAGAAGGAAAAGAGACATGATGTTGTTTAGTCAGGCAGAGGGTTGGGAAAAGCAAAGCAAGCGAATGAGAATAAAGAATAGAGGAAAGCATTCAGCTGTTAAATATCATCTCCGCTTTCCCATCATTGTGAAGATCTGCTGAAAGTTCCTGGGGTTTTGAGCTGCCTGAGAGCCAGTTGGTTGTTTTTCTGTAACGGGAAAGGACGGTGCTAGAGAGGCCAGAGTGGAGGAAAAGCAATGACAGTAGATTCCATCAAGTGAAGCATAACCCCCTCAGAAGTCGGAAGTAGCAATGGCGCTCGCGCTAACCTGATACTTGATGGCTAGCAGGGCAGGCAGGAGCCACACAGTGCAAGAAGAGAGAGAGGGCGGTTTTGTGGTTAAGGCGCTGAAAAGAGTTCAATTAACGGCTCTGCCCTAGGTTTCCTGCATGACGGGGGGGCAACTCATGCAGGGCTCATGCAGGGCCCAGGTTTGCAAATGCTCACAGCACTTACAACTGGTCTGGATTTTCCATCTTGCTCAGCAGCCAATATGGAGTTGATGGGACTAACTGGGTAACTGCTCAATAATGTGAGAAGAGGGTTCACAGCCTGTCCTGTCGTGTGCAGCGGCATTCCAAGGGCGTCCATGCTCTTCAGGCTGTAACCAAATAACAGATGGAGAAGTCAGTAGGGTCTCCCCCTTTCGTCACAAGAACTTGGCTCCTTTGCAGTGAGCTTGGAGATCCATTTTAAGCATACTGAAACTTGCCTGCGTGCATATACTCTTACACATCTCTTTACTTGTTTTGCCCCTTTCAAACTTCTACAGTATAGCTAAGCAAAGAAAGTACAGAATGAGGGTGACATGCAAATCCTATTAATTCACCCAAGTATGGAAATACAATTCTTTTGATGTCAAAAAGTACAGCAACGATATGTTAAATAGCTCAGCGCTCTTCAGTTAAATATGTAAAATGCAGATTCCTCTGGAGCAGTATCACTTCAGAATAACCCCAGACTACAGCTCCTTACTTTAAAAGGCTGATAATTACTCTAACAGCATTATAGCCTTTTGCCCAACAATGTGTTCACATGTTATTAAGCGGATTTGAGTTTAGCTCTGATTTAGTAACACCATTCCTTCTCCACAGCTTGTTTAGTTTTTCCTCCTGAGAATGCAGCTGACAGATTCCATAAGATTGCTACATGTGGGAAATCAGTTTTTGAGAAAGAGTAGAAATTAAATTATTCGATGCATTGAGATTATGGACAGAGGAAATCGGTTCAAATAAACATAAGAAAAATGCTTTTTTTTTTTTTTGCCCCAAATTTGAATTTGAACCACACACTTTTTTTTCAGGTTTGCAAAAGCTCAGTTGTCTTTTTCCCCCTACTTCTGTCTTGTAATGTTTCAGGATGTGCTTTACAGTTTCTCCAGAGAGCCTCCTTATCTAGCTTAAACGGCTGGAACGGATTCTCCTTGTAGAGTTACTTACATTGTTAAGAGTGTGTTTCAGAAAGTATCTTTCTGAGTTGCTAGCATTTTTTGCCGACTATTATTGGTATAAATGAATTCACAAAGTGCAGGACAATAGAGGATTAGGCCCACTGTGTCCTGCAGAGTTTGGGCTGTACACTTAATGAGTATTCTGTTTTGTCAGTCTGGGGGGATATTTTGAAAGCTCAGTGTGTTAGTTCTGTCTTCACCAGTCTTCTTCCAAAACAGAGGGCCCATGAAGCTAAAGCGCCCTGCATAACTTTAAAAAAATATAGCCACAGAATTAGGGTGCTAGAATCAGAAGACCTGAGCTTTCTTTCCATCCCTATCACTGATGTCTGTGTGACCTTGGGCAAGCCTTTTCGCTAACTGCTGCCTCTATTTCCCCTTTCACCCCTTGTCTGACTTGGTCTATTTAGACTGTAATCAGAGACAGATGGAAATTTGTCAACGAAATATTTTTGCATTGGAAAATACAGATTCATCAAAACAAAAACTTTTCTCAGGAAAGGGTTGGTTTCAATGAATTTCCTGTTTTGAAAAACTTTTGAAAATAGAAGTTTCAAAATTGCCAGAATGTCCCCTTTTTTGACATTTTCTCAGTGAAGAGTTCCATTTTTTGACTCCAAACAACTTTTTGTTTAGAAATTTAGGATAAGTTATTGCAAAAAGCATTTAAGAAAATAAGAAGCTCAAAATCAAAACGAAATGTTTCTGTTGACCCAATTCAGTTTCACACACACCTCTCCCAGATTTCTGGTTCATTAAGATTGTTGAGATTTTTTTCACGTTTCGTCCTGATTCAGGACAGGAATTCTTTTTCATTTTAATCTAATTGCGGGGGGGGGGGAAGAAGTCCCATTTTCTGACCAGGTCTAGTCAAAACACTGGAGCACACACTGTGGAGAATAATCCTGCACCAGCAGGGATTGCTGTACTAGAAGTGACGGATAGGTAATTTCCATCTTAAAGTGATAGGGTGATCACTTTTGTCAGCCTGATATAAACCGGAGGTTTCTGTGTCTGCTGTGACCTTCCTTTCCAGACCTACCGTGACCACCACGTCTTGGCTCTGCTCCAGACTCTGGTGACGGGTGGGACAAGCCCTGAACTGGAGGAACAGCTGGCAGAGAAGAATGTGCTGTGTGGCAGTTTCATGAACACAGCATACGTGGCCCCCAGAGCTAGGTGCAAACTTGCGCTTATGCCTCTGTCCAAGAGGCTGTTAACGGATTCCCGGGTAAGTTATAGTACCATCTTGGTAGCGTTGCCCTTTATGAGCTTGGTTCTGATCTCACACTGGTGTAAATTAGAAGTAACTCCCCTGAAGTCAATGGAAACCGAGTGTTGAGAGTATAATCAGATCCCATATCGCTATTCAGTGCAGCATGTGAACAGCCTAACCTGTGTATATGGCATGTCCTGTATCTCAGTGTTTTATGGGGTAAATATGTCATGACCTCGCACTGATTAGTGAGTTGGTTACCAAGTGCAGTTAGTAAATATCTCCTCCCTTATCCAGCCTCACCACCTATGCAATCTGCAAGTAGCCAGTGGTGACTGTCTCAACAATATCCTGTCCATTCTGAAGCCTCCTTTATTTTTACAGCAAGAGATTTTGGAACTTTCATAAGAATATGACCAGGCACAAAATATCCCAAGATTCACTTGTGTAGCTGGGATATTGGCTGTCCTAATATGATATTGACACTCTGGCCTGCTGCAAACCTCAGAGTAAAATATCACCTGAATCACCCTCTATCAACTTATCCTCTTCTTGTTCTCTTACCAAAATGCTGGTGACTATTGACCAGGGCCTGGCCTAGATGTGTCTCTTTCTCTTCCAAAGATACCTGGCTTCCTTTGTCCCTGACTGCTGTCCACGGTCATCTCTCCAGTGGTCATTATTGTCTCCTTCATACAAATCCACAGGGACCAATGGGAAGGGGGTTGGAATCCTGGCATGTATCATGTACCAAGGCAAGTGAGTGTGACTCTCAAGGCTAGGCATTGCTCATCCTTATTAAGCATTTTGAAAACCACTCTCCAAATGAAGGCCCTGATTCAGCAAAGCACTTCAGTCAATGGGACTTAAGCAAGTGCTTAAAGTTAAGAACATGCTTATGTGCTTTGCTGAATCAGGGTTTGTCTTTTCTCTGGCTGCTGAGTGTGAAACACAACCTTGCGCACATGCCCTAGTGGAGACATAAGACTAAGCTGACATATGTAAAATTCAGGTTCATTAAGTTGGATCTGAATCTGTGGCTAGGGTGTCAGATATCCTTTCTTAATATTACTTAGATTGTAAACTCTGTAGGGCAGGGTCCTTTTTTTATTCTGTGCTTCTACAGCATCAAGCACTGTGGGGTCCATGACTGGGGCTCCTCGGTGCTACTGAAATACCAATAATAAATAATAATAAATCTGCTAATGGACTGATCTCACCAGAGGGCTGAATGACCATTCCAGCTAAGAGTACTTTTTGTTCTCTCTCTGCAGGATTCCTTTGGAGACATTTACTGCAAAGCATTAGACTTGTTTGGAATCCTTTGCTTTGGACTCTACCGTCTGACAGAAGAGCCCAATCCATACAAGAATAGGGGAGTGCATTTTATTTGAAACTGTGTTTTATATTTACTTCAGTTTGAGCTGGGCAAGAAAGATCCAAAAAAATCTGTTTAATCAATCATAATCATAATGCTGCAATTATTTTAGATGGTGGGCAAGGAGATACAATGAATTTTGGAGTGCTCATGAAAACAAAGGAGTCAAGATTTGCTAATTACATGTGCAGTGCGGGCAGATGAAGCCTTCACATGGCTCTAACAAGACACCTCAGTCTTGACTTGAAGCTCAGATGCTAACCTAAATCTTAAACTAGAGCAGCCCCAGCTGTTCCAGTGCTGTGCCTCCATGATATCATAATCCTGGTCCCTTCCCCAGTCTGAGTCAAGATTTACACCCTTGTTATGGCTCTGGGTATCCCCTGAACAGAGACCTTTAGATATATCTACTTTTGTGGCAGTTACGGTGCCTACTATGGGCTAGCATGAGAGACAACGATGCTTACTTAATATCTGATTATTCTTTACATGTGAACACTGGCCTTTAGCGAGAGGCCAGAGTGTGATGTTAGTGGGGTTGTCCAAGTTCATAGATTCCACAGATTTTAAAGTCAGAAGAGAGCACAATGATCATCTAATCTGATCTCCAGCATGACCAAGGCCAGAGAATCCCACCCAGTGATTCCTGCAATGAGCCAAAAATGTTGGTTGAACTAGAGCAGCTCTCTTAAAAAGACACCCCCTCTTCGAGGGATAAAGCATTTATCACATCCCTTGGCAATCTCTTCCAGTGATTAATTAACCCCAATTAAAAATTTATATCTTATTCCTAGGTATAAGTGAAGGCAGAAGAAAGCCCTATGAATGGTACAGTATAGTATGCATCTTCTAATTCAGGGGTTGGTAACCTTCGGCACGCGGTCCATCAGGGTAATCCGCTGGCGGGCCGTGAGACATTTTGTTTACGTTGACCGTCCACAGGCATGGCCCCCCGCAGCTCCCAGTGGCTGCGGTTCACTGTTCCTGGCCTATGGCAGCTGCGGGAAACAGCGGGCCGCAGGGACGTGCTGGCTGCCTCTTCCCACAGCTCCCATTGGCCAGGAACGGCAAACCATGGCCACTGGGAGCTGCGGGAGGCTGTGCCTGCGGATGGTCAACATAAACAAAATGTCTCATGGCCCGCCAGCGGATTACCCTGATGGACCGCGTGCCGAAGGTTGCTGACCTCTGTTCTAATTATTCAAAAGGATTTTTCAAGTGCAGTTAAACATTGCAAAAAGATGCTATTCCCTAGCTATTCTGAGCATTACTTAGCAAAGGTCAAAGGACCCCACAGAGCTGTTGGATTCTCATGTTCTGGTGCTTTTCCAGGTATGCAATTGCTCGGCCCCCCAGTGATTTCAAGATGTTACCTACGGATATGGTGTTTTGCATTGTCCCATTCAGCACCACAGCAACTAGTGACCTGTCAGTTTGTGAGGAGGATCTTTCACCAAGGAGGCATCAGAGCTATACGGACAGCTCCATAAAGCAAAATTAAGTGAGATTGTGGAAATAAAAAAGAATGTATTGGTTACTAAGACCCCACAATGAGCT